CCCCCCCCGATTCTGCCCCTCACTGTGGATTTATGCAGCAATTCAGCCCTGTAAATAAATCCTTTTCTGTCCTTCAAAATAGCCCCAAAGCCAAACATCCCAGCCTGTTATTTAGCTCTTTAATAGTCTCTTCTGCTGTTTTTTTCCCCTTTAATATAATTTTAACTCTGTCCCAGGCTGGAAATAATTATATAGTGGGGAAAAGACTTTTTTTTCCCTTTTTTTTTCTTAATAATTTTGGCGTTGGTGTTTTGCAGCTTTATAATTCACCTTCTACACAGAGAAAGGGGGAGAAAACACAAAAAACCATAAAATCTCTGCTGGGTTATAAATAACAGAGAGACCAAATAAATCAGGCTCCAAAGCAAACAGGGAGAGCCGCAGGATGGGGCTCCATCCCGGCGGGTTCATGTGGGGATCCCGATGTGGAGCATCCTTCCCACAGATGGGGGAAAAAAAAACATGCAAAAAGCCAAATTCCCTGCTGGAAATGGTTATTTTTGTCCTGGGTTTTAATTAATAGGAAGAGTTTCAGGGTTATTTTGAGCGAGGTGAAATTCCTCGGGTGTTTTTGCCCGCAACTCCAGGGTTTTCCTGGACATCCCTCCTCAGGGTCTTCCCCCCATCAAACCCCAGTCAGGGGGAAATCAAAAGTAGTTAAAAATTGTTTAAAAGCTACATTGCCTCCCCATGTTTGCAGGTGATCTTGGGTGGAGGGAGGAAATACATGTTCCCCAAAAACACCACTGATGTGGAGTATCCCCATGAGGAGAAGCATCGTGGCACACGCCTGGACGGCAGGAACCTAGTGCAGGCGTGGCACGAGGCCAAATCCCCCGGCAAGGTAACAGGGACATCTGTGACCCCACAAACCATTCCTGGGGCTGGGGTGTTTCAGGGAGCAGCCCTGGGGGTGGCAGAGGCAACGGGGAAGGGACAATGCCTGTCACCTGTCCCTAGGTTGCCAAGTACGTGTGGCACCGGCGGGACCTGCTAGCGCTCAACCTCAGCCGTGTCGACTTCCTCCTGGGTGAGTCCTGGCACCCAGGGGTGCCCCAGCCTCGACTAGTGCTTTGGGAGGCCCCCTGGCCTGTCCTGGGGTGCTGGGGCAGCTGAAGTGTCCAGTTTCCCCCCCAGGGGTGCTGCAGCCCCTAAGAGATGCTGGTACTCCCCCTCCCAAAATGCTGGTACCCACACTCAGAGATGCTGCTACTTCCAAGGGATGCTGGTACCCCAAAGGGATTCTGTTATGCCCCCAATGATGCTGCTACCTCCTGGGAGTGCTAAGAGCTCCCCAGAGATGCTGGTATCCCCACAAAGGTGGCATATCCCCTCCCAAGGATATTGATGCCCACTCTAGGGATGCTGGCACCCCAAAGGGATGGTGTTAAGTCCCCAAGAATGCTGCTACTCCCCCTCCTAGGGCTGCTGGTACCCCCCCCCCCCCCCTCCATCACCTCCGCCAAAGAGATGTTGTTACACCCTCAAGGATCCTGCTGCTCCCCACCCCGGGATACATCAGCCTCCTAGGGATGCAGGGTTTTCTGGCAGTGCTGCAGTTCCCCGCCCGGCAGGGATGTGGGGCCGTCTGGGATGCAGGATCCATCCGGGCTGGAGGAAGGAAGGGCTGGGAGCATCCCCTGGCTCCTATCTAATCTCTCTTGGTCTGGTGGCATGTGAAACACTTAAGTCAGCACGAGGGGCAGGATTTGCCCCCACTTTTTCTTTTTTCGGGGAAAGGATGTCCCCAGCAAAGTGTCCCTGTCCCCAGGCCTGTTCGAGCCGGGTGACATGGTGTACGAGCTGGACAGGAACAACGAGACAGACCCGTCCCTCAGCGAGATGGTGGCTGTGGCCATCAGGATGCTCCAGAAGAACCCCAGGGGGTTCTTCCTCCTGGTGGAAGGTGAGGGGGTGATGGGAATGCACAAAGGGAGGAAAAAGAGAGTGATGGAGGGTACAAAAGGGAGGGGTTGGATAAAGGGAGGGTGCAAAAGGAGGATAAAACCAGAGGGCACAAAAAGGGGGATAAAAGAGCGTGATGGTGTGCAAAAGGGTGGGGCATAAAGGGAGGATTGGATAAAGGAGGTTGCAAAAGTGGGGAATGGAAGGTGCAAAAGGCTGATAAAGGTGGTGATGGGTGTACAAAAAGGGGATGAGGTGCAAAAGGGGGATAATGGAGGGAAGATAAGGTGGTGATGAGGGATGTATAAAGGGGAGATAAGGAGATTTAACGAGGGGATAAAGGGGTGATGTGAGATGCAAAAAGAGGGATGAAGTGGGTGATGGAGGAATGCATAAAGGGACAAAGAGTAGGGGAATGAAATGGGGGAATAAAAGGAGTGATGGGGTGCAAAAAGGGGATAAACGGGAGATGGAGAGTGTAAAAGGGGGAGGATGCAAAAAAACGGACCAAAGAAGGGTGCGAGGCTGGGAAGAGGAGGGCGATGGGGCCGGAGGGCGGCGCTGAGCGGTGCTGGTGCCGCAGGGGGTCGCAT